GACACCTGTAGCAGGCCCTCGCCTGTTACAGTGCGACACCTGTCACAGGTAACACGTGACCAATCACGTGCCACCTGTGAGGGGCAAATGATTAGGGGATTTTGCTCCCACCAATCGGAATGCGCCACGTGGACCAATCAGGTCCTGCCAAGTGTCCCCCAGTTGGAACAGCCAGGGCTTCCCACGTGGCACGCGCTTATTCGTCCACCTTGGACCTGTTATGTCAAGACATGTGGCATACTCCATGCCTAATGGAGAAACCGGCCACCCAGGTCCAACTTCCGAGGGAAGCCCAATCGGCCCTAGGCTTACCTAAACCTAGGATGGGCACGTTTTCCAAGGTTATAAATACCTCCCTTAATCCTCATTAAGGGGGATTACAAAAAAAACACAGAAACATTACGGAAAAAACACATTAATTACACACAGTAATAACCGGCTGATCTCGCTAACAAAGCAGATTACCTACGTTAATCACTCTCACCTAGAGAGACCTTATCACTTTAATTTCCGCATTAATTACTCCTTAATCAAGTACTAACTTGACCGTTGGAGGCGGAGCTCCCAGGAGTCTCCGTTATTTTGCAGGTACAGGCGTCCGGTTCCAGTCTCGGAATTGTAACTCTCCCGCAGGACATCAGAAAACCCCGAAACAAAGGGTATTTTAGTAAAAACAAAATTAATCGATGAAGAAGTGTTTTCTCACTACATAGTACTATAGAAGTATAGATAATGTTTCGCTTAAACATAAGGTTTGAGTTAATTGGTGAGTCCACGTGGAGTCTTGACTCAAGACTCGCGTTTTTTTTTTTTTTTGAAGGAAGACTCAAGACTCACGTACAAGACTATAAAATTTTTTGCAATAAAGTGGTGCAAGACTATAGGGAGGATGAAGATGTGTTTTGGATTCTAAAACTCAATTTAAGACTCTACAAATTTACAAAAAGCAATATGACTTTTTATTGTCGGCCAATAAAGAGCTGCCAACTTTTTTTTTTTAATATGCATCACTTTTACAATTGCACTATTCACATACCATGAGTTGATTAAATTTTTTCACCTCTTAAAAATAAATAAATGTTATTATATAATATATCATTAGAACTGTCATACTGTCTAGTTTAATAATGTAATTTTGTTATAATCTTTACTAATGCACAATTAAAGATATTAATTGTCAAAGTAATGTCTCGGCAAATGTGCCGGTCAAATTGATGCATATATATATATAAAAAGAGGGAGTAGTTATATATATAGTGAATAATCTGGAGTGCGTCTTAGAATAAAGTGTTATAAGTGGAGAAAGTCTTGTATGAGTCTTATAATTAAAAATTAATTTAAGCTTAGTGGAAAGCTGACGTGGTAGCGTCTGAATCAAGAGTCTCGGTCTGGGGATAAACTTACCCTAAAAGATGTCAATAATGTTACGAGTAATATTATGTTTGAATTCTAATTTTTTTAAAAAAAAAAATATTTTGCATAACTTTTACTATTAAACTTGTTTGACGTCATGGTACTATGTCATACATGGGTAGTGTACAAATTAGATTGAGTGATGCCGTCAAAAATACAATAAATTGCATCATTGAGTGAATCTAGAAGGTTTGTATAGTACAGTATAGAGCTGATCAAGTCTAGCCCGGCCTGACCCGACCCGAAATTTGACCAGGTTTGGGCAGTAATATAATATTAGGCCCGAATTTCGGGTTTGGGCAAAGGAATGGAGGCCCGATTTGTTTTGGACGGGTCTGGGCAACAGGTCTGGCCCGACCCGGCCCGAATTTGCCACATGTTCACATTTTCACAATTTCACATACCTGTTAACTTATCAACTATCAAGTAATAAAAAAAAAACCCTACTTCTTTATTTTCTTACTCTAGCAGCCGTCACCCTTCTTCTCCATCTTCTTACTTTCTTTTTCATTTCCTCCTTCTTCCTAGTCAATTATCAAGGAAAATACATTAACTAATTATCAAAAAAAGGCTAACAATTATTGTGGATCTATACCAGGTAATTGCATTGCTTACAATTTCGTTTTTTTTTTTCTTAATTTTCGACCACTTGCTCTGTTAATTTGGTTATTTTTGAAATCTTGCTGCTGTTTTTTTTTTTTTTTTTTACAAAATTGGTACTACTATTAGACAATTAGTGTTATAATGTTATTTAATTGTTGTTTCATTTTGTCCTTTTTTTTTTGTTGCTACTATTTTTATAATTTTCCATGGCAAGTAATACATTACTTACAATTTCATTTCGTACAATGTCGTTTTTTTTTTACAATTAGTGTTATAATTTTCAATTATGCTTACTGCTTAGTTGTAGATTTTTTTTTTCTTTTTGTTGCTACTTTTTTTTATAATTTTATTTGATGTTTTATCATATTTAAAGTTTCTGTTTTTGTTTCTTTTCTTTAGTGTGTTTGGCAGATTGTATTTTACAATCATGGTTAAGTCCACGGCAAGTAAAAAACGAGAAATTAATGATGATGATGTTGGAGTTAAAGAAGAGGAAGATGCTAGTGTGCGTGATGGTCGATCGACAGTTTGGAATGATATGGAGAAGCTTGAAACTTCAGTCAAGAATGAAACCAAAGCCAAATGTAAGCATTGTAAACAAATTTTTAGTGCCAAATCTACCAATGGAACTTCCCATTGAAGAAGACATCTTAATAAATGTGTTGCAAAAAATAATGCTTCTATTACAAAATTTTTGCTTGGTGCTGATTGTAGTTATGGAGGTCAAACCATGTCTTTAAAACATCCTAAATTGATCCCGATGAACTTAGAAAAGCCATTTGTATGTTTATTGTTGCTGGAGCTCATTCGTTTGCAACTATTGAAGAATCTGGTTTTAAACACATGCTTTCAATTGCTTGTCCTAGCTATAAAGTATTGAGTAGACACACATTAAGAAGAGATGCATTAAAGTATTAAGAAGAGGAAAGAAAACTTGTTGAATGTGATTTGCAAAATGCTTGTGGTAGAATTTGTTTTACTTCGGATAATTGGAGAAACGATAGTACACAGGATGAGTATATTTGCATAACCGCCCGTTGGATTGATGTTAATTGGAAGTTGCAAAAAAGAATTATTAGATTTGGTGCATTAACACATCCTTTTGATGGGATTAGTATAGCCGAGGATGTTTCTCTTTGTTTGGCTAAATGGAAAATTGATGGAAAAGTAGGGTCATTTACGTTGGATAATGCATCCTACAATAACACTATGGCTAATCAAATTAAGAGACAACTTGTGAGGAATGGAAAGGAGCTTTTGTTTTCCGGTGAATATTTCCAAATTCGTTGTTGTTGTCATATCATAAACTTGATTGTGCAAGATGGTCTTAAGCTCATTGATAGTGTGGTGGATAAGATTAGAGCAATTGGTAAGCATCTTAGGTACTCCATTCCAAAGAAGAAAAAGTTTTATGAAATTGCACAACAAACTTATCATTTGGATCCTAAAAAAAGAATTCGAGGTGATTGTTGTGTTAGGTGGAATTCAACTTACTTGATGCTTGATCGTGCTCTTTATTTTAGCGCGGCAATTGATCATGTAGTAGAAAAGGATAGTGGGATAAAAATGTATCTTATTGATGATGATGAATGGAATAAAGTGTCGGTGATTCATGACTTTTTGAAGCTTTTTTATGATGTCACAAATGAATTCTCTTCTTATAAAACCCCAACTGCAAACATTTATTTCAAGGGAGTTTGGGATATTCAATGCATGTTACTTGAAGCTGCAAATGGGCCACATTCATTTTTAATTAACATGGTGAAAGCAATGTAAAAGAAATTTGACAAGTATTGGTCAGATTATCATACTTTGTTGTCTTGTGCATGTGTTTTGGATCCTCGTTACAAGTTGAAATTTGTTGAATATTATTCTTTCATTACTCTTTATGGAGGTGAAATGTATGTTATGCAATTCACTTAAGGAGTATAGAGGTGTTGATGGTGGGGGTGTTGGTGAAAGTGGTGAGGTTAGTCATGGTAATAGAGCGCCACGTGATTCTTTTCCTTTTGGTAATGATAGGATGACTAATTTTGGTTCCTGGATGAGTAGTCAACAACATCACGTGGAGGATAAAGCTCAACTTGATCTCTATTTGGAAGAAAAGAATGTTGATTATAATTCCAAAATTGATGTGTTGGGTTGGTGGAAAAATAATGGGGCACATCGATATCCACAACTTGCGGCATTGGCTCGTGATATATTAGCCATTCCTATTTCTTCCGTTCCTTCCGAGTCGGCTTTTAGTATGGGTAAGAAGCTAATTAATCCATGGAGAGCTTCACTAAATTCCATGACAATTGAATCTCTTGCTTGCTATGAGGATTGTCTTCATGCAAAAGGCTTCTCTTTAGGTGATGTTTTGTTTCTTTTTAATGTTATTGTATTTTTCTTATTATTGAACATTCAACTAACCTTTATATATTTTTTTTTCTATTTTTTCAAGGTGGGTCAAATATTTTCTCAACTCAAGATGCTAATTATGAAGATGAGCAACACAAAGTTCATATTGACACAGTTCAAATTGACTAGTTTTATAATGAAATTTTAGTGTTGTATAATTTTCAATATTGTTTGTTTGGACATTTTTTTATTTTGTTTGTAAACTACTAAACTTAAACTTTGTTGGATATTGGATTGAATCATTGTAGTATAGTACTCATTGTTTATTTTTATTAATTTAGTTGAAATTGTTTAGTTTAATGTTTTATGCAAAAAATAAACTCTAAATACTAAAAAGTAATAAATTTTGGAGTTTATATAGGCAGGCCCAAAATGGCCCGACTAATACGGGTTTGGGCAGCAGTGTCCTGGCCCGATTCCTGGCCCGGCCCGACAATTTGGGCAGAAAACATATGCTCTGGCCCTGCCTAAACTCGGCCCGGCCCGACATTTGATCAGCTCTAGTACAGTACGAGTAATATTATAGAAAGATGCACTACCTTTTAACCCCCCCCCCAAAAAAAAAGAGCTAGACGTTTCTATCCCCCCCAAAAAATAAAAAAAATAAACAAATAGAGATAAAATACGAAGTATAAATAAAACAAAACGTCACACAGAGTTACGGAGTACTCTACCTTTTAATATCCCCTTTATATATATACAAAAAAAATACTTTACCTTTTAATCTTCTCCTTTTTTCTCATCTACACCCACTACCTGTTAAAACCCTCCTCCTCAAAATTCTCTCACAATTTTGATTTGTCCATTTATTCAGGCGCTGATTAAACAACGGTGGTCGACCTCCAGTTGCGGACTTCCTAAAAGGCGGTCAATAGTTTGCCCTTTTAGATCGTTAGGCAAAATCTCTACTTCAGGTATACAACTACAACTTAAGGCAATTATTGGACCAAAGTAGACCCAGATCTAGAGTATTGTTAGTTGTTCTGTCCTTAAAATTAAACCTCAATTAAGCTACTTTTTTTTTTTTTTTTTTTTTTTTTTTTTTTTTTTTTTTTCCGAGGCAAAGCTACTTGTTTCAATTGCTGAATATTAATTTTTTATCTTAATTTTATTGTTTGTAAGTTACAGTATTTGGTTTAGGTAGAAATTCAATCTGTACTATGAACTGGCTAAATTACTAGGCCTTTTACTCTTTTTGTAAAAACTCCTTTCGTATTTTTTTCTATGATTTAATTTAAAGAAACATTTAATTGATGCATGTCTTTTAGAATTTTGGTTAGTATTGTAAATGTCGTTTGCATTTTTGTTTAAAGAATCTGAATTTTTTTAAAATAAGATTGTTTGTTTTAAAAAAAATTATATGGTTTTGTTGTCGATCTAAACTTCAAATTTTGTATTTAGGCTTTTTTTTTTTAATATATTTTGATGCATGTTATTTATTTTAATTACACATATGCTTTGGTTATTAGTTGATTAGGCACAATATATGTAAGGATCTTGTATCTGTTCAATTCGCTATCCATTACGTCATTAACATATATTTTTAAAATTATATGGTTTAGTTCTCGATCTAAACTTCAACTTTTGTATTTAGGCCTTTTTTAATATATATTTTGATGCATGTTATTTATTTTAATTTTACATATGTTTTGGTTATTAGTTAATTAGGCTCAATATATGTAAGGATCTTGTATCTGTTTAATTCGCTGCCCATTACGCCATTAATATATATATTTAAATTTATATGGTTTAGTTCTCGATCTAAACTTCAATTTTTGTATTTAGGCTTTTTCCTTTTTTTTTTTAATATATTTTGATGCATGTTATTTAATTTAATTATCCATATGCTTTGGTTATTAGTTGATTAGGCTCTGTATAGAAAAAATTAGTAATATATGTAAGGATCTTGTATCTGTTTAATTCGCTACCCATTGGAAATAAATACCTTGCCTTGAGTAAACAAGTTAATCCCCAGACCATTATTATACTTCTGTGTCTTGGATTTCAAGGTTTAACTTGTAGCCATTCTAAAAAATTCTGAAACTTGCTACATTAAGTCACTAATATATGTATATTTAGATTACTTAAGAAGAATATTTCTGTACATGTGATGGAACACTGTCAATATAAGTCTTATACATTCGTTGTGCATGATAACTGAGTTAGGAGAGGATTTGGTTCACTTAATGCACGCATGGACCAAGTTAGAGGTAATTTAGAGTGTACCATGTTTGAACCAAATTATGAAGTTTGTTGGACCTCTATGTGTATGTATCTGTAACAGAATGTGAATGTTGGGCACTGAATATTTTGTTATTGATGAAAAATGGTAGTTATCTAGGACTTATTTGTTTGAGTTTTGTTAGAAATTCTGCTGTGTATTCAATGCATACTGATGGCTATTATTGTGTTTAAGTAATCCATTATGTATATGTATATATGTATATATATGTATATACATATATATATATATAGGAAAAATTGCCGGGAATAATCCGACCTTTGGCTCATCCGCCCAAAATAATCCCACCTTTCGATTATTTTTAAATAATCCGACCTTTATACCTATTCCGCTCCCAATGGTCCCAACCGGTCAACTAACTTGTTATAACAAGTCACCTGACACGTGTCAGCCTATGAATGGTAAAACAAATAAAATAAAAATTTTAAAAAGTATAATTTTTTTTAAGGAAAAAAGTTTAAAAAAAAAATTAATTGATTATGTGAAAAAGCCCCCACCAGCGTAAACCACCTCCCCGCCGCCCATACCTGCCGGCCCAGATGCCAGCCACTCCTGCCCAGCAGCTCTGAGCACCCAGACCCCCTCCCCAAACGCCGACACCCCCCATCATCCTCCACCGAACAACCAACCCCGGCCCTCCCACCGTAAAAATTTCGGCCCCTTCTCCATTAAAACCACCCCTCAATCCACGAAAATCCATTAATACCATCCCTAAACCCTCGAAAACCTCATCTCCGCCCCGATCCCGACGCCCCTCCCCTTCCCCCGTTCTGATTTTGGCAGATTTCCCCTTCCCCCATCTTGATTCCGGCCTCCCACCCTTTTCTCCGGCTCGAGTTCGGCCTTCCCATATTCCCCCGCTACGATTTCGGCCTCCCTCACTTTCCCCTGCCTTGATTTCAGCTGCCCAGACCACCTACAATAGCCAGACGACGACCTGAGCTTCGATTTGATAGTTGGGGATGGTGGAGCAGGTAGATGGGGCTGGTGGACGACGATGATGCGGTGGCTGGGACTTGTGGAGGAGGCGGCTGGCTTGCTGCCAATTTTTTTTTTTCAATTTTTTTAATTTAAAATTGTAAAGAAATTGTATGGTGACACGTGTTCTAAAACCAAAAAAAAAAAAATAATTACCTTTTTTACAGGTAACCGGTCACTTAGGACCATTGGGAGCGGATTGGGTATAAAGGTCGGATTATTTAAAAATAATCGAAAGGTGGGATTATTTTGGGCGGATGAGCCAAAGGTCGGATTATTCCTGGCAATTTTTCCTATTATATATATATATGTGTATATACATATATATGTATATACATATATATGTATATACATACATATATATATATATATATATATATATATATATATATATATATATATATATATATATATATATATATATATATATATATTCAAGCGATGGTAACGACTCTGATTGGAGTTCTAGTGATGGTGATGGCTCTGAGGAGGCCCGGAGTTTATAGCAACTTGTACGCAACCCTACAGTAAAGTAGGAAGATTAGTAAGGTTTATATATATATATATATATATATATATATATATTTTGTCAATGCGTCTAATTATGGGTGTTTTGAAGCTGATATTCATTTATATAGTTTGGTACACAAACTTATAACTGATTAAGTACCCTCCCCCCTTCCCCCCCCCCCCCCCCCCCCCCATGATCCCCCAGAGTAAAAGAATTACATTGAGTAGCTTCATCATGAACATAAAGTAGAGTAAGGCATGTGGTGTTTGATTAGTTGCTATTATGATAATGTTAAATTGATTACTCTTGTCTACGTCTAAGTTAGTTTCTTTTACTTTGTTATTGTTTTGCCTTGATTACTCTCATGCATACATACACATTACATTCCTATACAATCATTTTTGTAGAATGTGCCGTTGGGATTTGCAAGGTCCCATTTGAGCTCCTTGGGGCCTGATAACTAAAGTTCATGTTTGGATGGATAAAAAGTACCCGTCATGTCTCTATGTTAAAAGGACCAAAAGTCACTAGATTAGACTGTGCAACATAAGGGATGGAATATAAAAGATGTGTCGGGAACAGAAGATTAAGAAGGGGACTAAAGTGGTGGTGCAGATGATTAAAAAATCTCCTCCCGTTTTCAAAGTGACAGATTATCAGACTTTGTGTAAAACATCAGCTAGCGTTTCGGTATCATTTCTAGCAAGCTAACTTCTGATGTGTCTATTCTACAACTTTTTGTGTGTAATTGCTTAAGCTTCTCTTTTGGTTCTCAACTAATGACTATCCAACCTCTAATAGGAACTTCTCTTTAACAATTTAGCCACATTGAACTTGCTAAGTGGCCTTTTGTATTTATGGTGATAGCCAACCACTTTTTATTATACTTAACTATAATTACTATTGCCTAAAAATCAGCTTGTTTCTCAATAACATATGCAAAAAAGGTAAATAGTCATTACATTATACGTAATTAATAAACAGTTGAATCCGGGTTTAACACTTGACTCTATGACTCTATAAATACATGAATATAAGTAAATTTTTCTGTCATATAAAGTCAGTTACACATACTACTTTCAGTGTATGTACGCTTTAATAAAAAATAGTGTATTCCAAAAATAAATACTTGTACAAACAAGTAACAACATAAACTAATAATAATAAAAAAAAAAAAAAAAACAAAACACACACACACACACTTTCATATTTGTTTACAATATTCATAAATTTAAACTTGCAAATTTCATACACCTAGTTTTGCATACATAAAACTACTTCAAAGACTTTCAGTAGATGCAAAGTTCATACATAAAGATATTGAGATTCCCATGACCAACTTAACTAACTAAACACCTTAACTTCTACTTCCCACTTCAAACAGACCCAAACGACACATCAGACCACGTGCACCCAGTTACTTACTCCTCTGGAAACACAATCACATAATCTTGGTTCTTGATTCCTGCATCCCCAACATTGAGAAGCCTATTCAACCTCTTGTCTTGATGCATCAATATAATCCTCCATGGATCCTTGTTCACTTATTTACCCCACCTCTGGCATACGCTAGCCAGCGTCGTTGTAAGCTTTGCATAAACCCTCGCCTCATGGAATGGAGTACACGTATTTCTCATGGTAAAATATTTCCTCTTAGTGTGCATGTTGCTTTCAGGATTCTTCCAAATAATAAAACAACAAATATTGTTAGCCCAAATAATCATGTACTAGATCAAACAATCAGAACATTAGTAGAAGTACTCAGTATTAAAACAACATTACCAAATTACATTACATATCACCCCAAAAGCGTGGAGCACATCACCCGATCTTATCCTCAAATTTGCAACTACATCGGTGGGTGAAATGACTATATTAATTTTTTAAGGACAATTTCATGGACTGCTAGATCCACGCGAGTTGCGTAATCCTCATACATCTCCCGAAAAGTTTCGTCTTCGCTCATCTCATAGACAACCCCCCAGTCATCTCGTTGCCTACTTCTCACCACAATAGTGTGAGATGGTTCTCTACCTAAATGAGGATCAATAACATCATGTATTACAACAGGAGGAGGGCTTCCAGATAAGTTTGGCTGAGATGATGATGCTAGTGGGTGGTTGAGTAGCTCAGCTATAGGTTTGACAGCTCTTATCTCTTGCTTAGCCTTGTCTGGAACACCACCTGCCTCATGTGTACTAAACACAAAAAAAAAAATTATAAAAATAAAAATGAAATATGATTTATTTTTGGAAAAAAAAAAAATTGTTGGCAAATAAAGTGATGAGCCCTGGGTAATGCAGAAAATATCTTATACTTAGCACTGTCAAAACAGTTTGACAGTTCGGTTTCGGTTCGGTTTGAAATCGGTTCGGTTTGAAATCGGTTCGGTTTGAAATCGGTTCAAATGTCTTACGGGTCGGTTTCGGTTCGGTTTAAATAATTATCGGTTCGGTTCGGTTTCGGTTTATTCTTGAACGGTTTAAATTCGGTTCGGGTTATAAACGGTTCGGTTAGTAAACGATTCGGTGCAAACGGGTTGCGGTTTGTTAACGGTTCGGTGTAAACGGTTTTTAACCCGGTTTAAATTCGGTTCGGGTTGTAAACGGTCCGGGTTGTAAACGGTCCGGGTAGTAAACGGTTCGGTGCAAACGGGTTGCGGTTTGTTAACGGTTCGGTGTAAACGGTTTTTAACCCGGTTTAAATTTGGTTCGGGTTGTAAACGGTTCGGTGTAAACGGTTTTTAACCCGGTTTAAATTTGGTTCGGGTTGTAAACGGTTCGGTGCAGACGGGTTGCGGTTTGTTAACGGTTCGGTGTAAATGGTTTTTAACCCGGTTTAAATTCGGTTCGGTTTGTAAACGGTGCGGGTTGTAAAAATTCCAGGTAGTAAACGGTTCGGTGCAGACAGGTTGCGGTTTGTTAACGGTTCGGTGTAAATGGTTATTATCCCGGTTCAAACAGTTTCAGGTTGGAAACGGTTCGGTTGTTTTTTGGTTTAGTTTTATTTTAGTTCGGTTATAACTGGTTCGGTTCGTTCACAGGTTTGGTTCTTCTACGATTTAACATTATTTAGATCGGTTTTATTTCAGATTTACTAAATTACGGTTCGAGTCTGTTTTTGATTTCAAAAAATTTTGTACTACTTTCTAACTTTTTGCTAGTTAACAAGTTTTATATCAAGCCGAGACTTCATCACTTCATATTGAGGCATCATATTATATGCAAATTCTCATTAATTTTATAAATACATATCATGTTATGATTTAAGTTTAGCTATACTGATCTTACTAGTTTATTATGAAGTAGATTATAAAAGTTTAGTGCATTAATGTATTATTGTTTTACTATCAGATTATTATCTGCTTCTGATTTGATCATTTAGTTAATAGTGTCATAATCATGATTTGATGAGTTGTTGTGACATCGAAATTTGCAATTTGGTATTCGATACTTAATTAGTCAACAAGACTGATAATTAAGACTCGTTTATCATTATATATTTGCATAAAGTTATACATGAAGATATTACAGAGTAGTTTGATTTGTATAATGAAAGAAAACATTAATGAAGAAGAAGGTAATGTTGATTCCTTCAATCGATTATACAGATACATAACATATAACCATCTCATATTCTCATAGTTAGATATTATTAGTATAAAGGGATGAGAAACATAAGATTATTATATTTTTGTATATCCTTTACTGGTTTACCCTTAAGGCTTAAGTCACTAATTAGTAATTAGTAATTACTTAATTAGACTAACAAGTTAATCAGAAAGAGTAACTTTTAACTTGAGTCTAGTAGATCAAATACTGAAATGGTATTAGTATATTACCGAGTATGATAGTCTAGTACGCTGCTAATCTGTTATGCATCTATGCTAAATTGACAATTGCTCATATAGTCATATTAGTCAATCACTCATGTAGACATAACTCATATCTAATTAAGTAATTTGTATTTATGTACTAATCTACTAGTCAACTATATCATTTATAAGTTTACACGATTACAAGTGTATTGCTTATAGGTACAGCTAAACTGATATAAATATAACCATATAACAAATCCGTAGTACTTCTAACTCTCTAAGATATGACATCATTATTTATTGAACAATTTTCGATTTTTTATTAATCGCAACGCCTAGAAATTACACGCTAACCGATTCACATTTTATAATTTAAAGAACTTAATATTTTAATGTGTGTGTTAAAAAAAATTATAAAAGCTGATATTATGAAGGTGAATATCGTTTTATCGGGATCCGAGAAATGTAATTAGTTTTTTTTTTTAAGTCATGTAATTAATTAATTGTATAAAAGTTTGTTTAATGTTATTAAAATAAAATTAAAAATTTTGATTTTTACAAAGTGGAAAATTAATTTCATTTTTTTGGTTGACAATTTCAACAAAATATGGTGGGAAATTTCCCTCCAAAAACCAAAAGGAAAAACACATTTTAGATTTAGAATTTAGATATTTTGATTCTTTAATAATTAAATAAACATGTGGTTCATATATTATGCAAAAGAGAAAAAAAAAAAAAAAAAAAAAAAAGTGAAACGTGAAACTGTGAAAGACTGAAAGGCAATTAGGTTCTTCATTCATCCTCTTCATTCATCCTCTTCATTCCACAGCATTCACCGTTCTTCTTCTTCATCCTCAAATCGAAGCGTTGAATCCTCACTCACTCTCAAGTTCTCAACTCTCAAGCTCTGAACTCTTAGCCTTCAATAGCTCAAAGGTAAATTTTAGTTAATTGTTTTTGTTTTCGTTTCGTTTTTTTCGATTTTTTTTTCGATCTCTCCATTCTCGTTTTTTTTTTTCATTCTCCAGTTCTCCATCTTCAAATCTTCCTCTCCTTCAAGCCGTCACTGCTCAAAGGTAATTTTATGTTAATTTTTTTGTTTTCATTTCGGTTTTATGTTGCTGATTCGTTGTTTGCAGGATTTGCATGTCTTTATTTTTTGATTTTTACTTCTGATTTGTTCATATAATTTCATATAATTTCTGATTTGTTCATATAATTTCTGATTTTTTGATGTTGTTCATGTAATTTTTAATTTTATTGTTCTTGTTGTTCATTTAATTTCTGATTTTTTAATTTTATTGTTCTTGTTGTTCATTTTTTGTTATATCTATTTGTGAGGTGTTCTGGCCTTACCAGCTTTGGCTATGCTCAGTTCTGATCAGGGTTGTGGTTGTAGTACCATGAGCAACAATTGAGTTGATTTGGTTACCTTATTCATGCTCGTGGTTTCTTTTCGTGTTATTAATTGTGCTTGGTTTTTTTCAGGCTGTTGTGTTGTTGCTGGTCTGCCTTTGTGACTGTTTGTTGTTTGTTGAGCATTTAAAATGTATGGCTTTGTCTATAATGCTCTATTAGTCTTCAAATATACTGAATGCTATCCTTTGTTCTATCAGCTGCATTGTTCTCTCATTAGTGTTTCTGTTTATGTGGGTTAATGCTGAATGCTAGCAGGATTTTTTGATTTAAGTTTGGGTTTTGTTTTGTTGCAAAAGTGCAAGTGCATTCAGATAGGAGTTGTCTAATAGTGTTTAGTATATTTTAGGACTGAATTGTAGATGGACTACCTCAGCTTAGAGCATGTAGTACTAGCTAGGGTTTGTCCTGTGCTGCTGCTGTTCTAATGTCTGGCCAGATCTGCTAGATGTACAAGGCTAGATTGTAGGATCTGCTGGGTGTTTTCTGCCCTGTTCAGAGCAGAGTCTTTATGGCCATGGTTTGTGATGTCCTAGTTGATGTCTCTGCTGCAGGCTGGGTGCTGGGGTTGGTTGCTGCTGGTTTTCTAGGGTATTGCAGCTGTGGTTTTGCTGTCGTCTTGTGTTAGCTGGGCTGTGTTGTCTGTCTGTTGTTGGGCTAGGTTGCTGGTGTGCT